AAAAAGTTTCCGACGCGACGCGTTCTTCTAGATGGAGGTTATGGGGCTTTTTAGGAAACATAATGAAAGTGTGATCTAAGAATGAAATGATGACCTGTGGATGAAGAACATAATCGAAAAACACTCGAAAGCGTTCGGATGGACTCGAAGTAGACCTACAATGCTTACTAGGTGGTTTGAGCGTGCACACTTTTGTGTAGAGATTATCTTGATTTTGTGACTCAAAATGCACGAAAATTTGGCTTTAAAAAACCTCGTAACTTTTTTTCAGAACAGCGCATCGCAGATACGGAAGGTATATCTGAGATCAGCTTTTCAAGCTCTATCCATTCTCAGACAATCGCCGGGGGCAGGCGGGCACCGGAAAAATAGATTGCTGATCTCTCGCACCCCGCTCGCGGATTTTTTGGAAAGCAATCAGGACTTTTTGGAAGACCGCTTGCTGAGTTCTCGATTCCTCAGAAATTCAGCAATATATCTGCAAAAGATAAGAGCGAAAAAAAAACTCTTCCGAAAAGTCCTGATTGCTTTCCAAAAAATCCGCGAGCGAGGTGCGAGAAATCAGCAATCTATTTTTCCGGTGCCCGCCTGCCCCCAGCGATTCTCTGAGTTGGTATAGACCTTCCGAATCGCCACTTCGACTAAATGAACTTCCCTTGTAAGACACATCGTTATATCAGCCTGCAGCTGTTGAATTGATTCAAAAACAATATCGAAAACTTAACATGGTAGCATCGATATCATTGCTTGTCTGAAAATTGAACTACCTACCTGTCCTGTGGTATATTTGCTGATCTTAAGTGCAGAATCACTTGTTACGTGAATGTGACCAGAGACAAGCAACAGGTGTAGCACACGATAGCGAGATATGACCCCTTCCCCTCTGATTCCTGTTTCAATAAAACCCCTGGACTATTTTTTGCATACCGGAAATAAAAATAACATAAAAGGCCTACCAAGCACAACTAGTAATATATCCACTGTTGGTGTATTTGAGCGAATTTTGAAGTTTCCAAATTTACTGGGCCACCTGAGTAAAATGGTCAATTTTAAACATGATCAACTTTGATTCAAAAGTGAAGTGGCCACTACACAAAGTGATTTGTATTGAGTGCAAAAAGAGGTGGCTAATTCACCATTGAAACAAAGTAAATCATGTTCGAATATGACGCCATCTTACTCAGATGGCCCAGTATTTAAAATCTTCGCAGTTCGCTCAAAATTGCTAATCAGGGATCATTTGGCGCGCTAATTATGGGTAAAACACTCGTTATACATGGTAGGACCTTTCTATTATGCTGTCGTGGGTTTACGATGACAAGTCATACCTCGTGTGCTTGTATTTTGCATAATGGGTTACCTGACAAACGGTTGACGTATACCACACATTGTTGCCATCGCTAACACGATTGTTATTCGATTATGACCCCTTCCCTGTTTGGTTCCTCAATACGACCCCCAGATGTGGCGTGCCACATCCCACGTTTGACCTTGGTTGTGACCAAATCTCAATTGCGAAAGCTCAGTTCATACTTGCTCATTTGCGGACATAGTGCCAGCACAGGGTGGCACAAGTTCCCGACGTGCATTTAGTGGCGTCCTCCTTGTTTCAGATACGCATATGGTGTTGTTCCTACTGATTGGAAAACAATACACGCATTGAGATTCCAAAACAACATGTACTCTGATGAAATATAAATCGCAAAATGTGCAGAGTGCACAGGTCTAATTTGCTGCGCTCTCCACCAACTCCCTCATAAACTTTTCTAAAGCATGTTGTAAGTGCCCAACAAAGACAAATCATAGTACGATACGCAGTTTCTAAACTGTTGAACAATTTTTCGCTTTGCAGTAATCTTCGCTGCAAAATATTTTTCCAGCACTCCAGCGGACCCACTTCATGAAATTGATGCACGCAAGATTGAAAAAGATGTCAACTGTTGTGAGAGCAATGGACTAATCAATCATTTGTTTCACTTCTTTGATAACACCTTAACAGGCGCACAACACTCAAATGTGATTTTGCTACCATTCCTACAATAGCATAAGCAAGTGAGTGTTTGGTTTTTCACGAGATGCTTGTACGTGGTTTTGACCGATATCGAATGTTTTAGTTGCGGTAAAATTCTTAACACGCATTACCTCTTGGAAGATAAATGAACTTACATTTCTTGCGGAGCTTCTCTATAGGAGCTATGGAGGGTTTTAGCGCAAATCTGAGCCGCACTTGAGAAGAAAATATCCACTGGAATAATAGAGAGAACAATTATAATTCTGCAATTGAACATCTTGATTCCAACACACAAACGCATTCAAATTTCTCTGAAAAACTCACATAACTTCCACTCCGGAAGATCCGTGATTGCGAAGAAAGATATGAGAATGTGTTTTAACTTTAGACATGCTTTAGAAGGTACAGGGGGTTCTGAAAGTTAGCGGCTTCAGGTGCTTCAAGTAAAAATTTTGAAGCGCTTCATTGTATTTGTTGAATTTTACTTTTATTTTACAAGAATTACTGCAGCAAAAAGGGGACTTTTTATAGTGCCGCAATAAGTTTTCAAATGAAAGTACAGCAAAAAGTGTACCTTTTTGACAAAGGACTTTGTTACTTCTTCAGATTTTTTCATCGCCGGGAACAGTAAGCAGCCAAAGGAAAGTTTCCGTTTCTGTACAAATAAATGCAACAACTATGCAGCAAAATAGCTCCGCGATTAAGTTTTTTTCACTACGGGAAGAGCTATCTGACGGCCGGGGCTCGACCTAGGCGGCTTGGTAAGCAGGCTGGATCTTGGTTTGGGACAAAAAGCAAAGGGAGTTCCGTTTTTGTGGCCGAAAAACAGAGACACAAAATTTGCGACGTTCTTTTTTTGGTCGATGTTTCGTTTTTTTTTTTTGAAGATTTTCTAGCATAATGTTTTGGGGTCAAATGGAATTTCTTCGAATTTTGGGACATTCAAGGGAAACTTCGTTTTTTGCATTTTCCAAAAGCCACCTCGTGCCGAGCCCTATTAAAGGCGAATGTTGTTGGAAGCCTTGCTTCGATATGCATTGAAAAAAGGTGGGCATGCATGTTGTACTAGCAAATTCTCTTAAATTCTGTGTGTGTTGGGAACAATCCAGCATGTCCGGAAAGCGCCTATTACTTTACAATCATAACAATCCTTTCATTTACTGTTATACGGAAGTGCATTTGCAAAAGATGGTTTTTGAAAACGACCGTGCTACTCTATGTTAAGCGTTTTTACGATGTGTTCAAGAATGGAACACTTGCATAAATGCGTGCAAAGGGCGACTTTGAAATATTTGGTGAGATCTTTATTCCACAATCATCATCGTCTTCAGATGATCAGCGAAAATGTGTTCAAAAGCAGGAAGTAGCCCACATTTCCATTAAAACTTGGAAATTGCCCACAGCAAATATTCTACGCTCTGGATCCGTTTCGCAACTTTTGCCAACAAAAATCATTTTGTAATCGCGCCCAAACCAAAATCGCTGCGCTTGATCATTATAGATGGAAACCTAGTTTTGATTTTTGAAAATTGCGCTGTCAATTCCTATGTTGTGCGGGCTCAATGAAGCCCACCTTTTTTTAATCAGCTTTTGACTGAGCTGTTTCTATTGCTTCCAGATAACACCTTATTTTTCTTGTGCCACAAATATCTTTCAAACCTGTCAAACGTACGGAGAAATTTAGGTAAGCTAGCATACCATACACAAAAATTGATTTAGTTATTAAACCAAGCTTCTTGTTTTTCATTGAAGATATAATCATTATGATATCTAAGTTTGCGATGGTGAAACTGTTCAAACATTTCGAAGCAAGAGCATACTCACTACGAGGGCGTGAACAAAATCTTGAATGTATGTTACTATGCAAATCTGCCTATTATATTAGGTTGGTTCATAATTAATGCACGTTTTTCCTACCCCTTTTTTCAAACGCTAGTTTTCAATCAAAAATCGTTTTTCTCTGAAACCATCTAAACTTTCGGAAAGCCCGTTTCTTCTATTTTTTGACACACACTTTTGTTTTCGCAGATCTTTGTTCAGACCGAAATTCCGTGCCTTCAAAGGTGAGGAACCCAAACTTGAGATTTTTGCTTTTCATTCGACTAGTCCTAAATCCACGAAAAATGCTCAAATTTGTTTCAAAAAATATGTGTTATAATCGCGAAGATTTGTGCTACAAAATTTTCACCAGGGCAAAATTTTCTAAAAATTCTGAGTCAAGAAGCTTTGACTCAAACTTAGCTGAATGCTGCGGTCACTCGGAGCTTTATAAAATGCTTACGTGAAAAGCAATTACAGAACTTTCACTTGATTTTGGTAGAGTAGACCAAGGGCCACTAATGACAAAAAATGGCAGAGTCTCTTTTTTTGAATGAGAAAAAATTGGAGGAATGGAAAAAATACAGTTTTTTGCCCTCTATAGAATGCAGGAGAAAATGATACTTTTGCTTCCTTGGCAATATTCTTTTCGCAGAAGATTTTTGATAGAAGCCAAGTTTCACGCTACTATTGAATCGACCATCGGCTACACAATGAGCAGAGGTTGCTCCATTCTAGTCCTTTTGAGAGTAAGTTATGCTCTTTCAAACTAGAGCTTTCCAGAAAAAAATCTCGGTACTTTTGAGCATAAAAATCTTTCCCATGGTGAGTACAATCATACAAAAGTGTATGTTGTATAGCTTAAAGTTTGCTGTATACAACAGTTTTTGATGCGCTCAGAAAGGTTGTTTTGGAGAAGAATTATTTTCATTAGTAGTGGAAGTTGAGAAAACGTGCATTAATTATGAACCAACTAATATTTGTGTAACAAATTGAACGCGTTTAATTTTAGAGCTCATTCTTCTGAAAGCATTATTGTACTGCACTGTGAGATGTTAAAGCGTTCTCGATTTCAATAATTCGTGAATGTAATGCAATCTTTGGACTCAATCAACTTTTGTTTTTGCGTAATGCGACGTATAAAAACTGCTGCTTTGATGCTAAATTAAACATGAGAATTTTCTTTGTAGCCCTAACAGTAAGTTATTTGAGTGGATATGGCTAATATTTCAAGCAAAAATGGGAATGGTTTTTAAGTGTTACTTTCAGATTTTGCCTATTTTGTCCCGCACTGAAAAAGGTTTGATACCATCGTCTATTAATTCTAATCATCTACCTGCCTACACTAGCTTCATGAGCGAAATTGAACTAAAAATGGGCCGTCTTATGGAAGAGTATCAAAATTTGGTAAGTTAACGATCTATGTACTTACTCCATTCATTCAACTGGCGGCTGGAGGGCGGGCTTCGTGGCCCAATCAAAGCTAGGGAATGATCAGAGAGCACGAGCGAGAGAGAGACGCAGATTGCGTCGCGGGCGCTATTGGTTGCCTTCCAGTCTCCAAATCTCGTTGAATCAAAGAATACCGAAGAATCAAAATTAGGTATCAAAGAATACCTAATTTTTCTCACGTTTTGCTATGATGTATAATTTTGTAACAATGCAGTGAAATTTTTTTTTGTAATATTTTTCCTTCTGTTAATGCTAGTTGATGCTCTTATTCCAGACTTTTAGGCTTTGCTGATGACCAACGCCAGAAACGCTCTATGCCCTACTCCACCTACATATGCTCCGTGGTGTATGTACAATAATTTTATAATGAGAATGTATAAAAAGCTGAGCTCTCTTGTGCGAGCATACGGAAGCCTGGTCAGTTCGAAGCATTACATAAGGATTATTGGTACTCTATGTTAGAAAAGCCTTCACAGATAGCTCGAAGTGCACAAGTTTTCAGACAAGAGTTTGCGCAAACGAATACGAAGCTTTGAAGCACTTTCCAGGAACAAGCAACAAATCGCAAGGAATTATTATTGTCAGGCTTTTTGGGTAAACTTTGAACTAATGGTGCTCTTGAGATTCCACAATCTCTTTCAATACTTACGCTTCTCCATACCATCGTTGCAGCGCCAAATTCAAAGCAGCTTCTGTCGCCAGCGTAGTCGAGAAACTGGCTCTTCAACTCTCTCTATGGAATACCTCTACTCCTGCGGAAACCATGCTAGTTAGTACAGCCTCTTTTCAAGGCACCGTTCACTCAAAATTGAGGGTGACAAGATTTCGATTGCTATATAGTATCAGAGACCTAACTGAGCAATCGCTCAAGCCTCGCTGCAAAAAAAATGAATGCCGAAGCGAGAGAGCTGCACCAGAAGGTAAAAGCGGCCACGCTGGCTTCGCCCATCAACGTGGGTAGTCTGAAGCATAGGTGCGATAGGGGGAGCCGGGCTCTCCCCAGGTGAAAGGGGTCTCGGCTGTTCCCGACCTTCCAGGGTGAAGGGGGTATGTGAGTCTAGGGGGGGGGAGGGAGGAAGAGAGAAAAGGTAAAAAAGCGTGGTATGAAGAGCTCTAATTTGTACCTTATTTAGGCAGAAATTGAAAAAAAAATTTGAAAATTTTCAAAAGAAATTAAAAAATTAAAAAAAAAATTGATTATGAAGATCTGTGCTCCTGTTTCACTGCATCAACAAAAAACGAAAGCAATAATGTTTATCCCAAAAGTAGGAACAACTTCATTTCCTGCACATCATCATCAACAATCACTATCGCTAACGTCAGAGACAACAAGTTCGCTGCCTGAAAAATCTTCTTCTTCCTCCAAAAGGTCATCGGAGTAGAAGCAGAATTGCGTGCAAAAGCGTTCTGAGTCGAAAATGGATTTAAAACTTTCTTCTTCTTCCAAGCGCTTTTGTGATTTTTTTCCTGGCCCTCTGGTAGCACCAGGAAGTCAGCAGGTAGGTGACCAGTTTCTTCATACCATCTTTTAGGATATTTCAAAAAGTCATACGGTAACAGCCTGTCTGGACCACTTATACCAATCCTTTAAATGAAGTTTTTAGATAACAATGTGTTTAGTAGAAGGTTGACAAATCTTATGCATTTGCTTAGATGCTCTATCGTTGTACGACTTCTGCGTTGTGTTCTGATAACAGAGTAGATAGAAAATTTCTTTCTCCACCTCTGCCGTGCTAGTCGGAATGGAAACTAGCTTTGCTAGTGAGTCCATCAGATTTTTGCGGTAAGTAATGGGGAAAGAGCCAGATCTCATATGCTTTCGCAGCACGGAAGGAAATAGTGCATACTTTTTGGGCCTTGTCGAACTCTGGCTTCACCTCCTCTGGCATACGTCCTGTAAGCTGATTAAAAAGCTGCTCAACTTCTTCTTTAACAGCATCTGCGGAATAGCCGAAAAAAGGAGGTACTATGCTGCGCGTTGGTTTTTTTTTCAATATTATAGGTCATATTGTCACAAGGCGAATAACTTTCAAAAGCATAAAGCACAGAGTTAGGTTCGCACTCCAGCCGGGATCTAAGTGCAGTAACTATGCTTGTACTAACACCTTCCTTTTGTTCATATCCATGGTTGTGAATTTAGCAGCCTTGAATTCTTCAGCAACCTGAAGATCAGCAATGGACTTCCTGGACAATTCCTCATTGAAACTAGACAATCTGCTTGGATTCCTTATGCAGGAAAGCAGAGAGTTTCGCTCAATTGCCAACTCTGTATCAATGTCGACAACATTTTCGTCGGCGTAAGATTCTCCTTCTGCCTCGCTGTTGAATTAGAACACATGCGAGTCATCTGCGATTTTGCAAAGTATTCTGCCTGCCGTTTCCTCTTCAAACTGCCAACCTTTCCAAAACATTGAGGGATATTTCAATAACATGTTATTCTTCTGAATGTCTTAGAGTTTTTGACATTGAAACCAACCATTCTCTACAAATTAGGTAAGGTTGAGTATAGAGCGTTTTCACGAAAGTGACCTTCTTCAGCACTAGGTTTACAGAGTATAGATTCCAGAAATGGGCAGGTTTTTGTGTGAAGGTGTGGAAATTCACCAATCTCCCATAGTTTTTTGAGTGTGTGCTAATAATGATAGCATAACTGTCAATCAAAAGCGCATTTTTTACCAAAAAAAAACATAAACATATAACAACGATAAGCACTCAAATAGACGCGTTCGCTCACGTTCCCGTTAGTGCTGATAACGATGTCAATCTACAGCACATTTCTTACTATCAACGTGCTCCACCTCGCTCTTATTAGGTCGTCCAGAAAGTTTTTGCACATGATTTTCAGAATTCATAACTTCTGATTTTTCCAGCCGATTTGACTGCTTTTACTTCTCTGTGAAAGGGTAAGTCATGCTCTTTATAATGACATCTCAGATGCTTAGTAATGGTCATCTGTTGCATAGATAGGAGCGATAGAAGAAAAATGGTAAAAATTTTAATTTTTGTGTAGGGTCATAAAAAATCGGAGACTTGCAACAAAAATCGGAGCAGTCAGTACTGTGGGTTTTTTCACCAACTCTTTCTAACAGTGCAAAGTTTGCGCCGATTGAGCGTATCCATGAAAAGTTATGATTTTCCTGAAAAATGCCAAAATAAATCAAATTCGCCTTTTTGTACTGCTTGCTCGGAAATTATAACTTTTCATAAAGACGCTCAATCGGAGCAAACTTTGCACTGTTAGAAAGAGCTGGTGAAAGAACCTACAATACCGACTGCTCCGATTTTGTTGCAAGTTTCTGATTTTTTATGACCCTACACAAAAACACAAATTTTGAGTGATTTTGTTTTGAGCTTCTATCTGTGCAACAAATGACCATTACTAAGCAGCTGGGATGTCATTATAAAGAGCATGACTTACCCTTTCACACAAAAGTGAAAGCAGTCAAATCGGTTGGAAAAATCAGAAGTTATGAATTTTTGAAAATCGTGCGCAAAAACTTTCGGGACGACCTATACAATGTGTTGGCTTTTATGGGTCACCAAAGAAAATGATTTTCAGAGCCGTGAAGCAAAGAAGCCCTAACATGCTATAAACCATTCGAAAGCCGAGATCATAAAGAATCGACGTAGACCGTCGATTTTTTTCTAGATCTTCTGTGCCGCGAGATATGAGCGATTTTATGTGCTTCAAAAATTAACTGATTTTGTGTCCTCAGTTTCTGCTCTCCAAATGAATGCTACGAGAAAGTCGACGGTCTACGTTTGTTAATGAAAACTTGCTCTTTAACACAGATAGATTTTCAGCAGTGATTAGGTCTTCATTTGGCAGAAATCTGCTGTTGAAAATGACCATGTTTTCAGATAAAATGCGGTGTATCTCTCGGTAGAGGGGGCAAGAAAGAAGTCGACGGTCTAGGTCGAATCCCTTCCTGAGCTTTCGAATGGTCTATAGGTTGCTGGGCGAAAAAACTAACCAGTTTTCAAAAATGGGGTGGAGATATTTACTATTAGCTTGCTCCAACCCAGCTCCACCAATGTATTGGCTTTTAACGGTTACCGGAGCAAATGATTTTTAGAGCCGGGAAGCAAAGAAGCCCTAACATGCTATATACCATTCGAAAGCTGAGATCATAAAGAATCGACGTAGACCGTTGACTTTTTTCTAGGTCTTCTGTGCCGCGAGATATGAGGGATTTTATGTGCTTCAAAAATTAACTGATTTTGTGTACTCTACTTTCTGCTCTCCAAAATGCTACGAGGATAAATAAATAATATAAATAAAGATAAATACCGTTTCCTTAGTAAATTTATGAGTGTACTTGCTGTTTGAGGTACTTAGCCTGCTTTTCGTAACGATTTTTATCATATTCTCAGTGTACAATACCAATCTCAGCTCAGGTGAAGGGGGTCATCGGGAGTTTGGCCTCAAAGTGAAGGGGGTAAGATCCATCACTCCCCCTATCGCAACTATGGTCTGAAGACAAAAAGTTCAAGATCGAAATTTAGGGTAGATAAAAATGTTGAAAATCTGATAATCATGATGAACAGCGGTTCTATGACATTCCTGGATACATTGAAGCCCAGGCCTACATTTGTTATCATCAGACCTCTCACGTTGATGGGCGAAGCCACCGTGACCGCTTTTGCCTTCTGCAGCGGGTTTTCTAACTTTGAAATTTACTTTGGCAGCGAAACTTGGGCGATTGTTTACTTAAGGGCCCACTTATCATATAGCGTTCAAATCTCGTCACCCCCAATTTAGGCAGACGGTACCTTTAATTTAGATTCGATATTTTATTTGAAAACGTGTACTTCTGTTCAATCAATCTGGATATTCTAGAGAATTGGATGTGCGTTGGGAGAACGAATGACTAAGGAGAATGAAACTGAAACGTATCACTCGGGTAATCATTCCACTCGTGAACCGCCGATGAAGGTTGTTTGCGTTCTTAAATAATATCAGCAATTATTTAAGTGTGCAGTGTTGTCGTAGGACTTGATATTTCAACGTAAAAATTCTGATAAATGTTTTTTCTTTAACCTTTGAGTTTAACGAACAAAATATAAGTGTTTGATCCTTTCCAATGTTTCGCAACATAAAGCTTTGAAATGTAAGGGTTCGAATCGGTGGTTCAAACTTCCCCCAAGTAGGAGCGATTATGTAACATTACTATTGTTCTTTTACAGAAGTTTATTTCAAAAACTTTATCAATGTCGTAAGGCATATTTTTCTGCGTTTGTAGTAGTTTCATAAAATTTGAAATTTTTTTCAAATTGCTGGATAGACACATTACATCATATTATTTAAAAAAGTGCTTCGTGGTTGGCAGACACCATGTAGCTCACTACTTTTCAAGGTTAGAAATAATGCCCAGATAGGGTGTTTAATGAGGCTGCAGATTTGTAGGAAATGAGGATACTCAGACATTCACCACAGGCAAGATTTGCAGCGGTTCCGCAGGATTTTGTTTACTATTGTAAAAGTGGAAACGCTGAAAATGAAGCTTCCATTTTCGAAACTCTTTACAAAGCGCTGCGTAACTTCGAAAACTGCCAGCGGTTTGACGTGCGAGTACTTCCGCAGGTTTTGAATGTTTGTCTCTTACGTGTTTCCTCGCCAACAATTAGAGTGCATTATCGAACACTAGCTGGCTTACCCGGCTTCGTCCGGCTTTGTCAAAACACTACTAAAAGTCCCATCCAGGGTCAAGCGTGTGATGCGACTGTCGCAACGGGGGGTCGTAAAGGGGGCCTACGGTGAGGGGGGGGGTCGTAAGAGGGGGTAGTTTGGATAAAAAACTACGATTGAAAGCAATTCAAATAGCAAGTAATTATTACATGTACTTAACAATAAATTCATGGAATGCCGTGTACCAATGTATCAAATAAAAACGAGTGAACAATAAATTGAAAACATTTGCAAGCGTAGAAATTCGCTTCATTTGCCGCACTTTTGAAAGATTATGCTAGTTTTTTTTTATGGGAATCGCTATTTCTCCCGCAAAATATTGTCTCAAACGGGGATCGAACCTTGCTGGCATGACTAAAACCCAAAAAAAACACTTTAAGAAGCTCAAATGCTACTAAAGGCATGTATGTGTGATAAAGATGTTGGATGTACCGGTTGGTGTAGACATCCTGCTTCCGAAGGCTCACTGAAGACTCGCACATTCGACAAAAGCGCACATGTAGATCAACAATGACAATCAATAATTCGTAAATCTTTTTGTAATGCCATTTATGCGGCCCTTACAATTTATATGTACTTTAGATAAGCCCTGCTACTGCTGTGCGAAATCTGGTGTTATTTTATAAACTGCGGATTTTCTTATGATTTTATGTATGGTAGCAAAAAATGAGAAAAGGGGGGTCGTATCTGCGCCTGATCTAAATTTCTCCGGAGCTATTGAAGCTTGTTAGCTGCAAACTTGCTGTAGTGCGAGGCCATCCCTCTAGTTTTTATCATAAAAATTTCAGGCTGTTTCATAACTTCTCTGGTAAGTTACAAAATTTTAAGCTCAAAAATCCCAGTTTTTGCTTTTTAGGATCGCATCTAAATTTGCGAGAGCCTGATCTAAATTTTTTCGAGCTCACTGCTCCTCAAGGGCTGAAACTTTTTCTATGAATAGTGTGGGCACTATGCTACACCACCTGTGTTTTGCAGCCTCTCAGTCTTTTCCTGGCCTTAGTTACGAAATTTCAAACTACCGTGCTCATGCACGTTTTTGACGTCGTTCTGGACGGCGCTCAAACGGTTTTTTTCGCGGGAAAAACTGTGGAAGAGGTAAGAACTGAGATTCTTAGTCAAAAACATCTTTTGTAGTTCAAGAATGTCATTTTGTTCTCCGTGTAAAAATTTGTGTCGCATACGGGAATCGAATTTGCTGGTCTGAAGTATGCTTGAAAATTCAAAAGTAAACTTGCAGAATCTCAAACATTATTGAAAGTGTGTATATGTGCTAGTGATGCTGGGCGCACCCATTGGCCTAGAAATTCTGCTTTCGAAACCTCACTGAAGTTCTCACGCAGGTGTTTTTTAAGATTGACATTCGTTTATGCAGCTTACCGCGAGAAATGTGGGCAGGGGAGGTAAGGGGGATAGATGGGGGAGGGGGAGGGAGGGAGGGAGGGGGGGGGGGGTCGTACGGATGGGCACCTTCAAGGGGGGGGGGGGTCGTAAATGAGGGTCCAGGATCGCATCAACACGCTTGACCCTGGTCCCATCCCATCCCTGTATAACCTTTCCCTGTGCAAACTTCTATATGCAATTCCCTATTCCCGCTGTGTTAGTAATCAGCATGCTCGCTTATCCCCTTGTGCCAACTCCCAGCCCCGTTAACTTTGCAATAAATCGGTAAAATCGACAAAATCGATATTGATCGGTAACGAAAGGTAGACACCTGCCCCGCCTCTGAGTATGAGTATGTATGCCAAGTTTGGTCCGGATCGGTTCAGAAATGGAATTTTTTACTTGGAATATGCATACACACAGACAGACAGATATAAGATATCGTCCGTAGTGCAGAAAATAGTAGATAAGTCTCGCAGTCAATAAAGTAAGGTTCAAATCTCTCTTGGGTGTGTTTTGCTGTTGTGGTTCGCATTCTTCGGTACTTCCGCAGCACCTCATTTGGGAACTTCCGCAGCACGTTTACGGAGCTTCCGCAGGTGGACCGGCGGGATTTTTTCAAACGTTCCGGTCAGTCTGAGTAGGTGCAGAGCTCGGCGTGGCTCTTAATGACTCGTCCGTTTTTTTCTTCTCGAATTTCTCGAGAAGAAAAAAAATGGTCACTTACATATTTACTATTTTGACTAAAAAAATGGCACCGTCAGCAACTCTGAACCAGCTAGCTTTGTTTAAGAACTAAGAAGTGTACATAACAAATTTCCTCAAAATCTCCAAAAACTTGTCCCTTCTTCTATATCACCTTCCCCTAAAATGAAAGTGAAGTTTCGTTACTCTATGAAGGCAGCGACGATCAGGTGTAGCGGAAGTTTTCAAAGTTCTTAATAGACTGCCCATTCAAAAGCAGTAAAGCAGAAAATTTGGTCGGGTTAAACTTGAAGCTGAACTTGAACCCGTGAGCCACAACTTGTCGACATTGCACTTTGTACGGTCATATGATTACCTTAAAGGAAGTGTGGCTAACTTCACGTAGATGAATTTTACGGACGCTCTCGCACATATTTTATACTTATAGAAGCCTGTCACAGTTTAAAAAAATGGAAAAAATAGTGCGCAACAACTTCCTCCTTTGTAAACTCACACATGCCTTGCGGAACAAACAGTTGTCCTTCCTTACAGAAACACGCTGGACTTAACGTAAAATGATGGGGTGGAGGGGGGGGGAGGTAATCAAAATAAGCCCCCTGTTAAACAATTGCTTTAATTAAGAGAGCCTCCTTTAGAAATTTGCTGATGTGTTGTAAGCCGTAGTGTCATCAAAACCTTCCAAGAACCACTTCTCGACTGCTGTGACATCATCATTTTTCTTTCCATCTTCACGTCTTAGTCCACTTATGATGTCTATAGTGTCTAGAGTCAACAAAAGTTCTAATGCTGAATGCAGTCAATGTCTATGTACAAAAAGCTGTTTATGAATCGGAATCTAACGGCAAAAGGGTAAGATGAGCAATGTCATGAATATTCAAACAGAATGTGCAACTAAGGTCCATTTGTTAGAACCTTCCTTCCTTTGTAAGCAATGCTTGTGCAGTTCAACTTGAACTATCTAAATTTCTTCTCAGACAATTCGGAACTTCCGCGCGACAAGCAAATGTTTACTATTGCAAGAGTGGAAACGTTGAAAATAGGAACTTTCGCAGAATTTTCGCCTCAGACTGGTTGAAGACGGGAATTTCCGGAGGTCTTTTTTACAAAGCGCTGGCTTCCGAAAAATGCCAGCGGTTCCGCAGCACTTTGAAATTCCAGTACTTTGGTAGGTTTTTGATGTTTGTCTCGTATAATGTTGCCTCGCCAATATTTGCTGTTGTTTTTGGTGCCACTCCAAACTCCTGCTCCCCCCCCCTCCTTTTCCACTGCATCCAGATGATGCCATGTAAAATCTTGATTCATATGTGACTGACGACTTGGTACTTGTTGTCTGGCGTTCGCGGTGAGCTTCGGTCTAATGACTAAGCATCAGTTAATCCAATCCAAATATAGGGTGTTTGAAAGATTTTTGGCCTCAAGTACTTCATTTGCGAATTTTAGCTTGATTTTTTGCTATATGTGTTCACTAAACCTAGAGACCGCTTCCTCACACTGGCTTTGAGTTACTCAAAAAAAAATCAAAGGTAACCATTTTTACAGCTTCCTAGTAGAGACGCGAGGGTGCATTGCTTGATTTGTTTACTTTTTCCAACGTTGGAAAACGAAAGCAGCTTTCCGCTATTTTAATGCGAAAAATCCTAAGACTACACTTTCTTTATATAATGAAAGTTGTTAAGTAACCTTTGACCCAATTGAATTGACGGCTGGAAGGCGGGGCTTTGTGATCTGATTAAGGCCGCTCGCGCGCGTGCTGTTTGCTCATTCTCTAGCCTTAACTAGGTCACAAAGCTCCGCCTTCCAGCCGCCAATCCGGTTGAATCAAAGGGTAGCTTTTGAGCAAACAATTTTTCTGTCGCTAAATCACACAGTCGTGCAAGCTTGCGCCGAAATTTTCACCTCGAAAATTCATAGAAGCTTTGCTTTAGTGTGTAAGTAGCACAACCTCTTACTCTCACTGTATTCGTTTGGAAAAATTTTGCACGCTTGTAGAGCTTTTGAACACAAAATATAAATCTTGAGCCTGGATTTTCGAAGAGAAAAATTTGAACTGGATTTATCAACTTAAGATATGGTACTTGAAAGCAAACTCATTTCTATAAAAAACACATGTACGAAACTAGAAAGAAAGCACTTTTGTACAGATTTTTCTGGAAAATATGTTTTCTTCTTTGTAACAGGCACTT